TTCGCCCACGTCCGTGCGATGCACATTGGCCTTGACAATGTCTAGTATATGGTCAACCTTTGCCACTAGACGTGGACGATATTGTCGTGTCGTCGCACCGGCAATGGGCTGGCTTCCCGCGTTCGTCCAGAGCGCGTCCATGCTGCTGCTGATTGCTGATTGGGCACATTCATTGGCGCAGCGTCGCACGGATTTGGTGTTGGTTGAATCACGGAAATAGTGTGTTCGAGCGCGGACAGGATGACACGTCACGACATCAATCCATCAATCAAACGTGTTCGCGTTGAAATCGAATTAGCACAAAACTAACTCAAAGACTTCGCATACGTAGTGCTACGCCTGAATGCATGGGAGTCAGCACCAGCACTTGGTCGTTGGGAGTGAGCTGCGCACGGAGAGATCCATCCCGTGGTGGACGTCACGACATCATTGCATAAAACGGGTGCCAGGAGAGACAGACGCCAGTATCCATGAAGACACTGCATCGCCCTTGTTTGTACAGTTTGTAGAACCGTATTTACACTTTGATCTCGAGGCGATGCAGCCTTAGCACGAATTGTTGCTTGCGCCCAACCAAGGGAATAAATAAGCTTATTTATTCCCTTGCGCCCAACCAACCAATACTAGTACGAGTGCAAGCGAATACGCGTATATTATTCCCGTGCAATACACGTACAAAAGATAAAAGATATCCATACAACGACGTCCATTTACTGCGGCAGCGCGGCGTTCCACGTGGCCCACGTCTTGGTTGCAAAGTAGTCTTTGCTCTTGATCTTGCGCACGAGCCAGTCGCCGGCAAAGACGCCGCCAAAGAGTGGAAGCTGCGCGACACCGCCGTCTCGGCCAATCGGAATCAAAAGGCCTTGGGTCGAGCCGGCCGAGAACGGCGGCAGCGGCGCGCCGGTTTTGATCTTCTTCACAAGCCCGGCGGCAAGAAACTTGGCTTGCGCTCCGGCAACGTACGCCATCTTGGGCGACGGGTGGTTGCTCGCATCGCCAAGGACATAGACATTTTCGTACTTGGGATCGTCGACTTGGAAGGCCGGTGTGACTTTGATGCCGGTGGGCGTCACCAGCGACGGATCCAGCGCCTCGATGAGCGACGTGTTGAGCGTGCCACCGGCGCACACGAGCTGCACGTCGGACGTGACTTGCGTGCCACCCGAGAGCGTGATCGTAGTGGTCGCATACGAGTGCGCCGTGAGCCGCTCTGGCAATCGCTCGCCCAGAATGAGCTTGACGCCGCGCTGCGTGAGGCCGTCTGCAAGGCGGGTCCGAAATTTGTCGGACACCACAGCGTTCGAGACGAGCTCCTTGTTGCCATCGACGAGCGTGACGGTCTTTTCCGGGTACGTCGTCGCAATCTCACCCGCGATCTCGCAGCCGACGGCGCCGCCCCCGACAATCAAGACGCTGGAAGCTGCCGCAATGCGGTCGTACGTCTCGAGAAGCGACGCCTCAATGGTTGACCGGTTGTAGACGTTCTTGGCGACCTTGATCGGCGCCGGGTACCGGCTGCCCGTGGCGAGCACAAGGTGGTCGAACCGAATCGTTTGCGTCGTCGTACTAAGCTCGTCGCCGTCGTCTGTGATACGACGAACGACCACGTCGGTGGCAGAAATGGACTCTGCGATGCCTCGCACCAGTGTCGCGTGGGCTGGCAGTGCCTTGTCGAGCGGCATGAAGAGCTTGGGCACAAAGCTCTTGTCGACGAGCGCGCGCGGGGCGCCAATTGCATGGAACGAGAAAGACTGCTGCTCAATGACGGTGACGTGCGCGATGGTCGCTGGCAAGCTCGACGCGAGGGCCTGCGCGAGCTGGATGCCCGCGTAGCCGCCGCCGACAATGATGATCTCTTGCACCGTGGTCGTCATCTGTGGTCGACGTCAAGAAATAAGAAGTGAGATAGGACGCGGCGACCGTGCTGCGCAAGATCGCGGTCAGCGGTGTTGTGCCATGCCCGATGATGTCCGTTGGCCGTGGGCATCAACAGCTAACGTGGCAAAAATGCTTACGTTATCCGTGTTGGATTGGGTAAAAAAAGACCAATGAAAACGCGCTATTGTCGAGACGCGGGAATACGTTACTTGGATTGGCCTCATTTTGGACCAATCGGTGTGGAGCCGGACGATCCGCGCCGACCAATCCACGATCGACCATTAGAAGTTGCTTCTGCGAGGAGTTGCAACCTCGATGTCAAAGAGAGAGTATTAATAGGAGCTACGGTATTATACTACTAGTAGTGCCCTGCAATACGATACGATTAAAAGAGGCGTCTCTCACGCGTGGATGTACCGGTAATACAAGGGACGCGAAACCACACCACGGGACACCCCGCCGAATCTTTTCGACGGCATGTGACCCGGTAAATAAAAGACAGAGCAAGCTCATGCCCACGCAAGCAGCCTCTTTCCGGTGACATGAACACCAAGAAAAGGCGGCAGTTGCAGGTACACGGCTGCTGCCGACTCTTCCACCGTCCCTCGCACAAAACTTGTCTGTCTATCGAGATGCAGGTGCAATCTTGGCTTTTGGCGCTGTCCAACCCCATGATAAGCTCAAGTGAATTCACACTGAACACGGAAACACGACGGGCGCCCTAGAGTGGGTTGCTGGTCTGAGTCGCTCCTTCACTTGCACTGTCGTACTCGTTTTATCGCACACCCGACTTTGTCGTTGGCGGCTCGAGGGCAAATGTCGACCTTCTCTAGCAGCACCAACGACTTATAACGTTGAGCACACGCGGATCCTCATTTTCGTCTCTCAAGAGGACCGGTTTCTAAAGATGACGGTATTCGTCAGCGATGATGGCCATCTTAGCGGCTCGTCATCCATTTGTGTGCGATCGTGGCGAGACCAGAACCATAGAATCCATTGCAGCCATGGTCCCAGGCACACCACAGTCTCTAGTCATGGTTGCTAATATATCGAGATAATGCATGTTCAAGAACATACGCCATGTAAAAGCAACCAGACCAAGGGTAGCGAGCATTGTTGTGTGGGGTAGATTGCGTTGTGGTGTTCAACGCGGCCGTTGCCATTTCAACCAATAAAATGCATTTATTTGAATGCCCAGCTGTGATTCGCTGTAATGTGGCCAATCGCGTGTCGGCATGCCATGATCACGCATCACCTGCGTGGACTTCGTTGAAGGAATTTGCACTTGGTGCCCACTTGGTCCTTTGCTCAAGGTCGCCAACGCAGAAGAATGACATCGCCCGCGCCTCGCGTCGTCGTCGTTGGCGGCGGCTACGCCGGTATCCAGTTCGCCCAGTCGCTGGCCCACTACGCACCCGGCGCGCGCATCACGGTCATCGAGAAGCAGACCTTTACGTTCCACGCCAACGGCATGCCTCGGGCTTTCGTCGACAAGTCGTATGTGACCAAGCTTTTCATTCCGCTCGACAAGGCACTGCCGTCGCACGTGACGCTCGTCCGCGGTCTCGCCGTGTCCATGACCGACGCGGCCGTGTCTGTCCGGACCATCGACGTCGGTGGCAGCCTCGCCGATGACGCCACGGAGCTCGCGTTCGACTATTGCATCCTTGCGACCGGAAGCAGCTACGCGGCGCCCATCAAGGTACCCGAGAACGTCTACACGCGCGAGACCATCGCGGCGTCGGTGCATGCGGCCATCGATGCTATCGCTGCTGCCGAGAGCATCCTCATCGTCGGCGGCGGCGCTGTCGGCTGCGAAGTTGCTGGTGAAATCGCCGTCAAGTACCCGACCAAGACCGTCACGCTTGTCGATGGCAACGCGCAGCTGCTTGCGAACGCCAACATGTCGGAGCTCTTCCGGGCCAAGGTGGCCGAGGGCCTCGTCGCCCATGGCGTCAAGCTCGTGCTGGGTGAGCGCCTCCCGAGTCGACGCACCGAGCACTCGTTCACGCACGAAACCATCACGCTCTCGGGCGGGACAGTCGTCTCGTCGGACGTGCAGCTCGTGTGCGCCGGCATGACGCCCAACACGAGCCTCCTTGCCGCGCTCTACCCGGAGCTTGTGGCTGCCCAAGGCATCAAGGTCCAAGCGTCCATGCAGCTCGAAGGCAAGGACCACATCTTTGTCCTTGGCGATGCGAGCAACCATCCGTCGCCCAAGATGGCGTACGTGGCGATGGAGCAAGCCAAACATTTGGGCTACGGGCTCGCGCAGCACCTTTTGTACAAGACGCCGTTAGCACCGTTTGCAATGAACCCCGTCGGTCTCATGCTGCTACCGATCGGACCGTACGCGGGCGTCGCACAGTTTCCACTGCCTTTCTATGGACCGCTCGTGCTGGGCGACTGGGTCGTGCGCTTTATCAAGGGGACCGACTACTTTGCAAGCCGGACATGGGGGACATGGAACGCATCCGTGCCGTCCTAGGCGCTTTCCCTGGAAACTGGTTCTGCCGTCCTTACACAATGTCGTTTGAAATATATATACGTATAATTCCGAGTGTCAACTACATATGCTGAGCCGTGGGATGTCGTTTGTGTTCGGTTTCAAGCGCGATCGAGGGTCATGGATAGAGAGTCGATAGATTTTGCACACGAAAAATAAGACGCTTTGCACACAACTCCACGTAATATTTCAACCTAGATGAATATTAATAAATAAAACCTCTCGCCGATACCTCCTCACGTCCCTCACCCTACCGACCATCTCCCATGCCCCCTTACTCTAATCTCTGAATCTCCTAGCTTCCTCCTCCTACCATCCCCACACCTCTCCCACACCCTTGGCCTTCTAGCACCTCATCCTACCTTACCAACCCCTTTCCCACCAACCCCCATCACCGAGGCGGCGTGCAGATTTCTGGTTATATTCTTATCCAGCAGCTCCGTGTGGTGTCACCAAAACGATTTGACTCATGGGTAGAGCGGTCGGAGATGGCTCATTCCTTGAGGATGCTTTGCATAGCAGTCGGCAATGGCTCGGAAGCTTGCGGTCGACGCGTCGTGGAGCGGCACGCCTGACGCCAACCGGGTAGGAACATGGTCGATTTCGAGCTGCACCGCGTAGAGGCGCCAGGATTTCACATCGAAAAGCAAACGCTGACTGCGCACATGTATCGTGACGAGACCATTAAGGAGCGCGGAAGCTCGGTCCATGTAGTAGACATCCCGATAGAACCACTTGTCGTGCTTGAAGAGAAATTTGGCGCCTGCCGTCAGCAAGAACGACTTGCTGTGTCGCGCGTCGTTGGCCTTGACGGGCCAAAAAACGCGGACAAGACCAAAGGCGAGGCCATTCGAGACCAACACCGTCCCGAGAAGAAAGACGAGTCGGTCGTACGACCCGATTGCAATTCTGGCGGTCGAACACGTCACTTGATAGTCCAACGCGGTCGGCGCACATTGCAGATCCATCTCGGCCGCATAGGCCACCGGTTGAAGCGAGCTCATCAAGGATGCAATCGCCAGAACGATCAGACTATGGAGCGTCACGTAGCGGGCCGAGTGTTCTTGCGTGAGAGGCAATCCGATGTCGTTAACGATGCTCGCCAGCCACGTGACCTCGCTCGCCGCCAAGCACGTCGACAAGGTGGCCGGCACGTCGGATTTGAAGTACATCGTATAACCAGTGCTCTCGAGCGAGAGGGTGGCCGTCGAGAGGAGGCAGAGCGCTGTAAAGCTGCGCACCAGCAAGAGCGGACGACCGACCCAGACAATCCCGCCGACACGGCTGAGTTTGAGCATGTTTCGACCGTCAATGTGGCCACGACTGGCCAGGATGTAGATGCCAGTGAGTCCCGCGAGCGACGCGATCGCGAGCGTGACGTACTGGACGACAGCAAAGGCGTAGAGAGCGTACGCCGTGGGCAGCTCGGCGCTTTGGACAGGTTCCACTTTTTGTAGCACGAGATCCGAGAGCAATGTTAGTGTCCCAACGTCACCAGTGAAGGAGACGACGTCGCGCCGGCCAAAGATCCAGTCGTGGACAAACGTGTACCCGAAAAACCGGAAGTCATCGTGGAGCAGCGGCGAAGTGTACAAGGTCAGTATGGATCCTCGAGCAGCGACGTTCGTGCCATACTGCATGATCTGAATGTTGAGTGCCGATAGAGCGGCGTGCGCAGTTGACGACAATGTCCCATTGGACTCGAGTGGAAGCGTTGACGATAAATCAACAACGTTGCGCAGCACGGCTTCGCAGTCGTCGACGGCGCCGGGCACTTGGCGGCAGAGCGACGTGAGGTTGGTCGTCGGCGATAACCCCGCAAAACGCGATGCAAAGACCAGTTTCTCTGGTGTTTGTGCGTACGAGGCCGATAATGTACCTCCTGAACACGTGCTCTCAAACAAGAAGAGACGCAATAACCCGACAGAAATTGGACTTGAACTTTGCAACGACGACACAGGGCAGAGGAGGGAGCCCCCCGCCGTGGAAAAACCAACGTCGAGCCATATCGCCGGCACAACGGAACTGATAAAGGCAACATCGATCGTAGCATACGCTTCTTGATGAGATTGCGACGAGGCTCGATGCGCGGCGACCGCCGTGAGTACCTGCCTTGCTGCCAGTCGCACGGTGCGTGGCACATCGATGTATTTGGTGTCGATCGCACCAAAGGGCCCAAGAGCGGCGCGGACCGCAGCAAAACCAGCGTCCAGTGGCGACTGCAAAAACGTACCATTTGTCAGATAGACGTCTTCGAGTGTCTGGTTGGCATAGCGAAAGGTGGGCGACGCCCGCAACAAGCTCTGGGAGGTGTTGGTTGCCATCGTCCAGTAGAAATCGTTGGCGAGCGACCAGTAGAGCTTGAACGTGGTTTGCAACTCGAGACGAAACTGTCCGTGGGAGTGCTGCATCGTGAACGGATACGCGACGCCAAGTGCGTTCTCGACACTATATGTGTTGATGAGGCCAATACTCTTGAAATTTTGCCACTGCAATTGATAAACATTCAGCCTGTGGTAGCGCCAGAGGTCGACTTCGCCGGGGATCGATCCTCGAGGCGCGCGAAACGATGCCAGAAGCGCATGGCCCGCCGCCGACTGCTGCAGGTAGACGCCAAATGCGCTCTGAAATGCATCACCCCAGCATGTATCCCACTGCGTCCACGCAACGTTGCGCAAGAGCGACGCCATGTAGACAGCGGCGTTGGACCGCAAGTGCGTGCGACAGCGCGCTTGACGTGCCGTCGATGCCGCCATTTCGTAGACACCACCGAGATCGAGATAACAGTAGGCGGTAAAGACCCACGGTGCGAGACATGGGTCTAGACGCCGAAGCGCTGCAATTGCTGTAGCAAGCGACGTCAGAGTCGTGTACTGCATTTGAGCGCCAAAATGAGACGGAGAGCTTGTGACGGGATCACCTACGGGGGCCATCGCACTCAAATATGACACGTCGAGTGTCAACGGACCCGACGTCCCATTGAACGAAAGCTGACGCCAGAGGTACTTTGAGAGAAACACATGTGTATGTGTGAGGTTGAAGCCGGGCCAGACAAGGTCGTTGGCCAACGCGCGTTGTGCGACACCCAGATACGAGTAGCTGCCATAGACGTCCGCGACGACGTACATGAACCCAGCCAACGCGATGAAGCGAGCGTACCGAGATGGCGACGGGCCGTGCATCGCAAGGCGCGGGAGAACCCGCAGATGCGGTGGTGCCACACGCACGATGACCCAGAGCTTGACGTCAAACCAAATGCGGCCTGGTCGCAGCGGCACGCGACCGGCGAGGAGACAGCTCACGTCGTCCAAGTCGGGCGTCAAGAGAACACTGGCAGCGCCAGAGAGAAGCACGCTATCCGAGCGACGTGTGGCATGTCGATGCCACAGTCGAGTTATCAATGCGATCAAGAGACCGATCGCTTGGATGCCAAACAGCAGCACGACACGGCGGGTGCTGCCAATCGTGATGGAGCCATGCGTGCACGTGATGGTATAGATAAAGTCAGAGCTAAAACACGACGATTGCAGGTCCATCACGACACCAACCGGCGCTGTCGTTTCCAAGATGACGTAGCTAACCCAGACGAACGCGGCGTCGACATTCCAGCCGTTGGGTTGCAAAACGAACAAGACCTCGCTCAGTGCATATGAGATCCACGTCGCCTCGCCCGCAAGCACGAGTGTCTCAACGTAAGGACGATGACCCGTCTGGAGTGCCGAGATGCCGTTGGTATGCGAGAGTGTGACGGGCGATGTGCCGAGAAGCATGACCGCCGAGCAACCTCGAAGCAGCATCATGGGTCGCCCGAGCCAGGTCGAGCCAGCGACGCGATGGAAGACAAATAAATTTTGACCCGCAAATGCCAGTCGCGACCGAAGCCCGAGCCAAGAACACAGGATGGCTGTTGCCCAAAGAACGAGCGACGAGTAGAGTAGCGTGTAGATGAGGATGGCCGATGCTTGGCTCAACGGCGCCGTGTTCGGGTCCACGTGTACTGCATCGGTATACGCGTCCGAGACTAAGACGAGGGTTCCGTTGTCTCCTTCAAACGAGACCACTTCGCGTCGCCCGGTCACCCAGTCGTAGACAGCTGCCCAACCGAATAGTGGATCAAAGAGGATTGGTGCTGTAAGAAGTGTCCACTCGGTGCCTTGGGGATTCGAAGCAAACTGCATGAGCCGCACTTGCGTCGCGTTGACTGTGGACGCCAACGATGCCGTGTTTACGGCATCGCTCCAGGATAACGTCACTGCAAGGTCGCTGGCCACCGTGACGTGGCGCCGACATGCGACATCATCAATCGATGCACATAGTTCCCGGGCAGATATCCGATTCATGCTCACGGCAAACACCAACGCGGATGGCGCGACCACCATTATTGCACGCTCCTGCGTATTGCATGCGTCACCAAAGGTAAACGACGGCTGCGGAAACGACGTTGGAGGGTTGTAGAGGCACATGGGGTTGCCCCCATACAAGAGGAACGAGCCATTCTGCCACCACGTTGGCGTCGGCGGCACCGAGAGAGGAGAGAGTTGCTGGTACGCGCTCGCAGCACTGCTGTTGGCTTCGAGCAATGTATACAAACGCTGCTCAAAGGCGGCGATCACAGTGATGAGTGGCGGCGGCGGCGCCACTACAAAAAGATCCACAGACAAGAACGGACCAATCGCATCGCGCACGAGTCCCGTTTGCTGGACAAAATGTCCATCGGCATCGCTGAGACCCAGGAAGCCTTCAAACTCGGGTGTTGCCGAGTAGACACATTGCGCAAGGCCAAAGTAGTTTGTGGCGCCACGCACGAGGCTTTGGCCGCACATAGCCATGAAGAAAATCTCGTTCATGAAGAAGATATTGAGAGTATTCGACGTCCATGGGCCCTGTGTGTATGTCGAGTGAAGCAATTCGAGTGTAAACGCAAGGTTGAGCGGATTCACCACCGTCAGAGACGATTGGAGGCCTGTGAACGCGTTGTTTTGCCACTGCAGCGTAAAGTGCGTCACGCCAAACGATCGCCAATGCGCGGCTTCGTCTTGGAGAGACGACGAGCAGTGGGCCGTGGCGTTCAACCATGCGTGACCCGCAGTGCCCGACGAGGTGACCGCGTTCAAAACGGCTACCTGCAAGTGTTCACCGTAGACGCGCATGAAACTTGTCCAATTTTGGTTGCGAAGAATTGCAGCCAAATAGACGGCACCGTTTGCGCGGTACCGCGCTTCGCACCGCGCCTGGCGCGCGTTGGAGTGCGCAAGTTCCCAGCGCCGGTCAAAGTCGACGTAGCAAAAGTGTGTCGGCACCATCAGCGTTTGGTCTGCCGACGTGTTTCGGATATTTGCGATGGCATACTCGATGAACGTGAGCTTCGTAAGGAGCAGGGCTCGTGCATGTGTCGGGTGGGGCTCAGGAACGAGGCGCGTGGACGGTGCGTAGGATTTTGCCATCTTCAAAGCGGAGAGATCGATGATAGTGTCCTCAGGTGGCTGCTCCAAGATGTTGTTGATGGCGTCGACAAGAAAGAGTGCGTACCCACTTGAGTTGTAGCCTGGCCACCAAAGGTCGTTCCCAAACGTGTAAGAAAGCGGCACGAGGTAGTAAGCCGCGGCAGTCATAGCAAACCAGAGGTAGAGTAGCCCAAAGATCGCAAAACAAGTGGCTCGGCGCGAGCGTCGCCATCCGGCCGAGGGCGGGCCCGGCTGAAGAGGCAGCACGGGGTGCATTTTCAAGCGTTGGGGCTTTAAGTATGGGAGTTTCGGATTCACGCTTGACACAACGGGTGGTGTGCGACCAGTGGTGTGCGACCACTCTCAACAGTAATTCGGGTAATTCTCGAAATGTTTAGAGAGATATAAGAGCCACCTTCAAGCGGAGAGTAAGGCAACATCCAAAACATTCAGAGTATCGGCAGCGAATAAGTCTGAGCATGTCATGCGTTTATGTACTGTGTTTCATACCAACATATGCTACTAGATTTTTACATGTAGCTTGCTTGCACCTCTGACTCCAGAGACGGGGCAGCTCAACGGAGAAAACATTAGGCCTCCAGGCCCCAAAATCTCCATGGGTGTATGCGCCGTAGAAGTTGCTTCGCCGGTGTCCCACATGCTAGCGCCAACGTCAACCGATGCGTCCCATGAAGTCACTCGATCGGGAATGTAGCGGTAAATCCTCCATTTCAGCCAATCCATGGAGTGAATCCCAAATAGTCGCCTCTGATTTGCTGTAATGTAGCCAATCATGTGCCGATTATGGCTGTCATGCATCGACAACATCACCACAATGGCCACGCCGGATGTCCATCATCACTCACAAAATGGCGCCAAGCATGTCGTCTTTGCTTCTGCGATCCATTTTCAAATCGTCCAGCTTAACAACACTACCACCATGGTCCAGCAACCCCACGTTGTCGTCATTGGAGGCGGTCCCGCCGGCATCCAGTTTGCCCAAGCGCTCGCGTCCAAGCTCTCGTCCGCCGTCAAGATCACGGTGATCGAGAAACAAAGCTTTACGTTTCACGCCGTGGGAATTCCTCGCGCACTTGTCGACAAGTCGTACGTTCCTAAACTCTTCATCCCGCTCGACAAGGCGCTCCAGCCCAATGTGACGCTCCTGCGAGGCGCGGCCGAGCGCATCAACGACCACGACGTGACTCTGCGCTCGATCGTGAATGGCGCACTCGCCGAGTCGACCACAACCCTTCGCTTCGACTACCTCGTT